TAGATGAGGAGAAAGAAAAGTGTAGACCCAGAAGTCCCAAGTATTGAGACTTGGAGCACACCAACATTAAATAGATGGGGATAAGAGAAGGAAATAGCAACAAATTCCAAGAAGAGGCAAAGTGGCACAATGCAGGAGGAAAACCAAGAGGATAAAGTATCCTGAAAGCCAAGTAAAGAAAGTTTACCAAGGAGGTGGAAGCAATAAATTGTTAACAAATATTGCTGATAGGTCACAAAGCATGCAGACTGAGAACAGACTATTGGAATTAGCAATGTGGTCATGACTGATGTCCTGGGCATACAGTTTTGGAGCAATGATGGAGGCAAAAACCTGACTGAAATGTATTTAGGAATGGTAAGACAGAAACTGGGAAACAAAGAGTAAAGATAATACTTCCGTGAGTTTTGCTACAAAGAATATGGTATTAGCTGGTGAGAAGCAGCATTAGAAAAAGCTTTGTTTGGTCTTCTAAGATGGGAGAAAAACCAGATATTTGTATGATGATGGGAATGATCCTGTAGAGTGAAGAAACTTGAAAGATAAAGGAGACAGAAGGTAGAATTAATGAAGGAAAAACAATGAGCTTTAACGTACAACTGAAATGACTAGTCTTAGGAACAGGGGAAATCTACCTATGGTAATAGATGAGAAGGCAGAATATGTGGGTATAAATGCTGGTACATTAAGTATTTGTTAGTGTGAGTCTGTGGAAGTTCTCTTTTGATTGCTTCAATTTTCTCTGTGAAGTAGGAAGTAAGGTTATTAGCTGGGAGAAAGGAAGAAGCAGGAGATATTCGGGGGTTGTGGTAGTGACAATTCTTACATGGCCCCCATTATCTTTACCCCCTGATCTTACAATCTGTATAATCCTCTCCACTTCCATGTGGGTGGAACGCATGGCTTGTTTATAATCAACAGAATATGGCAAAAATGAGGAGATGTCACTAGCATAATTAAGTTATGGTCTAGTGCAAAGGTGGTGAGAAAGTCATTCGTAGGATCTGGTTCAATATATAAGATTCCATCCTTCTAGCATACAATGGAGAGAAATTCTCCTCCTGGCCTTGCCAAAGGCAAATAGCCAACCTGTGAAGTATCTGTGGAGAGGGACATGTGGTAGGGAACTGCGGGTAGCCTGTGGGATCTGAAGGCCAGTATCCAGCAGCCAGTAAAAAGTCAGGGCTCTTAGTCAAAACACTGAATGCTGCCAACAACCTGGATGAACATGGAAGCAGAGAAGTCTCTAGTCAAGCTTCTGCATGAGAATGTGTCCTAGCTGACACTTTCACTGCCATGTGAGACCACCAGCAGAGGACTCATTCGGCCTGCCTGGCTTAAGTCTTGCCTGGGCTCCTGACCTACAGAAACTATGAGAAAATACATGTGTATTGTTTAAAGACACTAAGTTTGTAGTAATTTGTTATACAGCAATAGAAAACTAATACAGAGTTGAAAAGAGAGGAGAACTTGTGACACTGTCAACTAAAGAATGTGAAAGTGAATGGGCTTATGATTGACAGAACTGAGTCCATTTAAGATTTGTGGCCATGAATTTAAAGTTAGATCAGTCACATTTAGTTTCATTTTTCTGCAACCATAGCAAGGGTACTATATGAGTTACCTATTTTCATGTGTTTTATATGTTTTGATAAATATTTTTATATAATTTCAAATTCATCAGTAAATAAACAAATGTCTACAGAGCACATATTTCTGAAATCATTCTTTTTGTTTTCTTTTCCTGAAATTTTACGAAAATTCCAGGAAAGCTTACAACCAGGAACCTAAAATTAACACTGGAATTTAATTTTTAGTACTATTGACTGATTTACAAAACCATTTTGCTGAACCTTAATGAAGACTGAATAATTTAGTACAAATAACTAACTGAATGCTACTGGTTCTGTTTTTTTTTTTTTTTTAGGTTTTCTTAGAAAGTTTAAACATGTTGCTTTAAAGAATCTAATTCTGTTTGCTATATCTTAAATTTGTTTTATATTTAAAATACCATATGGAGAAAAATTACATTCTAGATTGTTCTAAGTATAGTTAACTAATTATTTATTTCTTATGTCAACTCTATGAGATGCTATTATTTGAATTTCAAAGATAGGGAGACTGAGACTCAAAACTCAGTTTCTCAGCAAGTAAGTGGCAGAATAAGGATTTGATAATAGGCATATTGACTCTAGTCTTCAAATTTTAACCATCATTTATTTTATAAGGTTTCTCATATGGTAGTCCTTCAATTGTAAGGAGCAAATTATTATGGCACAAAATTATAGAGTCTGTTAGTCTAACCTGTGGAAACATGTTAAAAACACTATAGGGTAAAAAATAAAATTCAAAACGTATTAAAACATGTAATCATTTTTAACAGAATAGAAGATATTTTTAAAAGTTGGAAATGCAGATCAAACTTACTCATTGAAATGTTTTCTGTGCTTTTTAATTTTGGGTTTTCTGAATATTGATAGTCCATTAGTTCTTTTTATCACAGTTAGTTTTTAACACAAACTATTTATTCTAGAAATAGAACTCAATCGTAATTCATTTAGCTAATATTGATGAAAACACAAATGTTAGTCATCTTGGAGGTACGTTATATTGGTTTATAATAATTTAAATAGAAAAAGTTTATAGTTACTTTTAATAGCAGAGGATGCCATATTAACTATAACACATAAACAATAATTTTAATCTAAGAGAAAAATCTCTGGCATTGATCCATTTCTGCCAGTTTGTAAAACTGGAGACATACCTGCTAAACTGTCAGGTGAGAGTAAAACTAAACGTAAACCAGTTATGAAAGTTATTTTCTTATATGTTGAAAAGTCTATTTTAATTATGACAAGTTGAATATTATCATGTTAGAAGGTACTTTCCCATCTTGGTTACACTTTCAGATATAAACCAATATAGTGAAGTTAAATTAATCAGGACTATCCACAAAAAACAAATGTGAGCTGTGTAATCTAAAGTCCAAATGAACAACAAAAAGCACGTTTCCTTCTGTCCTACCATATGATTACAATCTATTGGGAAATATTATGGGAATGATTACAAACTACTAATAATATGAAAGATTGATGATAAGTATAATTCCTTCAATGAATTAAGGATTTTATTTTGTTCTTCTCTCATATCTTGCATCATGTTATCCAGAAGATAATTATTCTTCTTGGTATAAGAACAGAAGAAAATAGAGTACAAGTAACAAATATAACAGAGTACAGTAGAAAGAATATAAAATCACAAATGACTTATTTCAAATTAGCAAAATTAGATTTTGCAGAATTCAGTGAAAGTAGTAGCAAAAATATAAGCAAATGTAAACATATAATTAGCCTTTTAAGAAATCAAATTTTATAAAAATTCACATGCTCATATAAAAATAAGTGAAAGAAAATATATTTCTAGTTTCAAAGACAAAATTATTAAGATGGTTTTCTGTTTTTGACCCAGGATTTTTTTTTTTTTACTTTGAGAAAAATCATTACTTTTATTTTTATTGCTGTTGTGCTCATTTGTTTTTGTTTGGAAAAGAAAGAATGATGTAGCGGAAGAGAAATAAAAAAACACAAAATCAGTTGTTTTCCCAATAGTTTTCTATACCATATAATTAAAGCTCATGTAAAAGGCAAGGTATGTAGAGTGATATGTATATATGCTTTTTAACTTCATGTTTGTAATATTAAGCTTGGTTCTCACTTTATGTAGTACCATTTCCTTCAAAGAGAAGTGTTGGGTTACATCACTAAGATGTGTAGTTTACTAACCAATTTATTTGGGCTAAAATGTGAGCATTTTAAAGTACTTTTGTTTGAAGGGAACACTATTGCATAAAATGAAAATCAAATTCCTAATACAAAATATCCTAAAAAAAAAAAAAAAAAAAATATCCTAAATGTCAGTTTTGCTTCCAGTTATTATATTAAAAATTTTACTAAGGTTACAAATGTATTAGAATCAACAAAGGAGGAATATAATTCTGATGGTATTACATAAGATAATATGCAAAAGCCACATTTAATATATTTAGCAAATTAGTCAATTAGATGAAAAATATATTAAAAAGGTCAGCTTTGTTTAAAATTTAAATAATCCCAAAAGGCCCTGTATCAGTAAAAAAGTGAAAATATTAAAGAAAATAACATTTCTCACCTAAATGAAGCTCAACTCAGACAAAATGAAAATGTGTTTAATCATTTTAATAAATATATTATTCAACATTTGTCAAGCTGAAAGTACAGTATGGCTCTGAAGTACATAAAATATTTTAGATAATCTCCTTAAATTGGCAAAAATAACTACACTTTTGAAAAATGACCTCTAAATATTTAGAACCAAAGCAATCATCAAATGAAACTAATAAAATATATTCTAATAGTAAAGTTTGCCACTCCGGCAATAAAAATGCTTAGAATTTCTTAAATACTAAGAAAGTACCTTCTCCTGAGTTGTTAAACATTATTAAAATTATCACAGATACCAATTTTCAGTTACTTTTAGATTGCTAGAAATGCTTTTCAAAATAGTTTTAATTTTTTTACATTATAAGAAAACACCTCAAATAAAAAGCAAATAAAATTGCATTCACTTTTAAAGATATACCTTTGCTCAATTTATACATTTATTTTTTACATATATGATATCCTTAACTTACATACTAAGAGTCCTAGGAAGATACAGTAAGGGAGATTAAACACACCAACTCAATAAATAACCCTCAGAGCTACATAAAGTAGTCACAATTTTAAAAGAAAATCCAAAATTCTAGTTGTCTACCACCTGAATATTTTTTTTTTACCTAAAATTAAAAATGCATATAAATTCTTAGGAATAATTGTTATTTCTTTCTTAGGCTATCTGGAATCTGATCATGGTGCATACATGTGAATGAACGAATAAATCCTTAACCCACCATTATCTTTTTCTCCAGTTTGCAGGCAATCACCCGTGAAAAGTATGGTGTAGATGACAGGATGATACTGTACCTGATTAGCTCTGGAGGTGGTCATGGGATCAGATGGAGAGGACTTGGTGGTAGTTGGGGAAGATGGCAATGTCTGGGAACAAAGCAGTTCAGGAGCAAATCAACCTTTATAAGCCTTAAACTGATTATTTAAATAAAACAAAATAAAATAAAATGTAATATAGCGAGAACAAAATCCTATGAACAAATTTTTCTCCTATTCATTCAAATTTAATGGAATTTAAGATTAATTAACTAATGCGTGTAAATATGCATGCATAAGCATGTAAAAATAAATTCATGACTTGAAATCATGATGGTGACTGATAAAAATTCACATGAGTACTAAAGGTATTCTGACCATATTCATGAATAGTAGTCTCATTTCTTTCCCGCTTGTTTTCTTGGGGGAAAAGAGATGTCAAAGAAAAATTCAGTAAGTTTAATGAGTAAACTAAAAGAGTCATTTTCCTATAAATGAATACAGTCGGAGATTTGAAGAAGTGGTGAGATGAAGTTTACTTTGGCATAAAAGTATCCACCTACTTAATATGTTGAACATCACCAACAAGTTGATTCCACATGAATTTAGGGATCCATACTTAAAAGCAATTAAATTTGCAGTTTTGAGTTCTTAATATCACATTATCTTCTAAAATATTAATTTTTAATAAATTTAGAGCCCGTCTGAAAATGTAAACATTAACTTCATATTAATAAACAGGTAACTAATGATATTATAACAAATTGCCATAATATTTTTATCATTTATGCTAAACAGTAAATTTAATATAGAGGAAGAGTTAATATATTGTAGTATCATCAGCTTGTATTAAAACTAAACACACAAAAAATTAGAAATCATTTCTTGTTCACTTCATTTCTAAATATATATATACTATATATAAAATATGTTCTATGAGACCACATATATATGTTGAGCAATTCATTAACATATTTTAAAAACTTCTCATGTCTAATAGAATGACCTTAAAATGTAAGCTTTTTTCTTTTTTAAAAAGTGTCATAAGTTTATTTAGCAAAATAGTATTGCTTATGTATCATCCTCAATAGATAATATTTCTTAATAGGTAAAATGAGGTAGGTTTTTATATTATAGAGACATTGTATATGAACATTTCATATTCATATATATATATCAAAATTACTCAGATATGAGCAAAAGCATAACTTTAAAGGTTCAGCAGTATCAGGAAAAGTAGATGAAATTACTTAAAGTCATATTTTTGTATTTAAGATTTCAAAACTTCTAATTTGGGTCAAATAAAGCAGTTAAGAGTAAAAGAAAGGGTAAGAAATTTACAGGCTCATGGTTAACTCATTCCCCTCCGTTAGCAAAATAAGATTGGTTCTAACTTCATATCATATTTTATGTAGTCCACTCTTCAAATAATTCCTGATTCTTCTTAAGTAAAACCTAAGATATTTTGAGAAAAATCAGACTTAGTGGTGAATCAAACCAAGATTTTTATCAAATCATAGAATAGAAAAAAGAGGGAGGAGAGCTACAGTCAGAAAACCCTAAAGAATTTAAAAAACAAAAGGTTTCAAATCCTTTATTTTCTATTTTTGCTCTTTATAATTAATTCTTGCCATTTCTACAGAGAGATTTCATTTTCAGTCATTAAAAATTTCCCTAACACTTTCTTTTCCATGTAATACTATGCTAGGATATATTCTAATGACTTAATGCTATTATTTTGTTCTATAAATTGAATAGTAAAGGTTTTATTTTCCCACCTCTGGTTACTGTTACTACACAGTATACTTTGGAGGAGTTAGCATACTTTAAAAAATATGTTGTGTACTAATATCAGACTAATAATGAGGTTACTGACTAAACAGATGTTAAATAAATCTAGAGGGCATTTATCCCAATATGTGTTCAATATAAGTTCACTAACCTACAGAAGAGCAAGATTCTATATGTGTTGGGCTCTTCTATTTCCATAAGCATAAAATCGATCTGAAGTACTATAGGTTTACTAAGACATCCACTTTGTCCTAGATAGAAATTTTCATCAAGGTCTTTATTGCAAAGAACTATGTGGCAAAAATAATAATATCAAATGGCTCAGAATTTGTAGTCACTTAGATTAATATGATCTTTTGTCGATGTTTTTATTGCCTTTCTTTTTGCTTGGCATATATAAGGAATATTGGACATGTATTAATAATTGATACCACTCACATTCATCAAAATTGTCCTTAATAATTCTGATGCTATTTCTTTTTCACAGTGATAAATGCAATAGGTTTACACTTATGGATAATATTAATATATTTAGAACAATTCAAGTTTGGGTTATTAAACATTAAAATCTGATGAGAAGTTACATTTTAATGTATTAAATAAACAAGTGAAAATTATGCAATGTTGTTTGGGCTTAAAGGGATAAGACTGTTGAAATGTCACAGTATATTGTCTCTAAATATATTTTCTTGGTTTAAATTCCTAAAATAATGAAAATGTAATGAAATAAAGATGTGACGAGTTTTCTATATATTATTCACATAGATACTTTAAAGCACAAAACATCTCCTAATTCACAAATTCTATTTATAATAATAAAGATATTCCAGAAAGTTTTCACTTCAGTTGATTTTTTTAAATACTAGGAGGAAAAAATTGCTTTCATAAATAGTTAAATATAAATATATTAAAGTAATACCTTTAATTTAAAAGATTATATTAATTAATGAAACAGAAATAATAGTTGTTCTCAACTACACAGATAAATGGAACAAAAATCCATAAGAAACAGTTCATTGTACAATATAAATGTACATTGTTTGTTTCTTTAATATTTCATAAGCAAACTATATCCATTTACTGTGCAAAGTTAATTAAAGATTAGGGTTTTCAGGTTAAATACCCTTTAATAAAATTTTCTGTATACATCATGAAGATGCAATTAACTGAATATCCACATAACATCAGTATCTTGATATATTTGTTATAACATTTACAAAGCACATGCTCATCCAAAAATTAATTTCTTATACATTTTTCAAATATTGAATATGAAGGACAGAGTCATTTTTTAGCACCACTTTCTTTTTCAATTGGAAAAGTATAATTTTTTTAAAGCTATACAACTTGAAGGGCTGTTTAAGAATTCTTTAGACATTGAAGGCTGAGATGCTTATCGCAGATTTTAAGCATTTCAATAATTTTAAAATAATTAATTCTTTGGAATATAAAATAGTTTTTTATTTTTAAAATCAAGCAATTAACAGTAGGTATTTAGTTAAATATAGACATAACTAGGCTTTTGGAAATAAAAACTAAAGTTATTACAAATTATGGGATGAATTCTTATTAACAAGGGACAATTTTGCTGGGTCAGAGAATATTATTATAAATAAAGTTTATAATAATTACAGCTTGCTTTTAAGCAAATCTACAGCAAGATACTATCAACAACTTCTAATATTTATATATATATAGCAAAAACAGCAACAAAGAACAAATCTCAATTGTAATTCAAAATCTATTACTAGCTGAATAACATTACTTAAGTAATCACCTTCCCAAACCTGTTTCTAGTTCTATTCAATAAACCTGTATACTACGCCATTAAAAAATAAATAAAATATTTTAAAATGTAATTGCCATCTTTAGTTTTTCATTTCTGAAAAACATGCTCCCTTTTTCCAACATTCGAACTATCTTCCAACATCTGAACTAGTTAATTCATAGTTTTCTCTTCCTAATAGTAGCTGTATCTACACATATCCTAAGAGTCTGTTTGGATTTTTAACACAAAAAAGACCAAAATGCAGAAGTGATTTCTTTTTTGCAAAGCCTTCCAGGGAAAGTAAAAGGACTCTTTTGGAAAATATCAGGAATAATTTGTAGTCTGTAGAAGGTCTCTTGGCCAGACAACCAAAGCTCTCCTCTCTCTGACTCCATCCTATCTAACATTAATTTTCTCTGAACTCCAATATAAATATTACACTTCTGCTGAGACAGTGTCTTTACTATTCAACAAATATGATATCCATCTTCCCAAATCCATATTGTTTCATCTTCTTAAAATAAGCTTTTTGCTTTCTTCTCAATTTCTGTACAATCTTCAAGGTCCAGTTCAGTCTTCACCTATTTACATGATTATTAACCCACTCTAGTCTCCTTTTCTTTCGTACTCCTCTGAACTTTTATAATATTGTTTTACCATAGTTTTGGTAAATAAATACATTTTTACATTTTTATAAGTTATTTTCAGCACTTACCTCACAAACTAGTCTTCAAGGGCAAAGGCTACAATTTTATATTTTGCAATTCAATAAGAAGAAATTTAATAAATTCATGATTGAATGAATTAATAATGAATAAATAAATTAACAACTGCTATCTTTGCCAATTAAGGTAAAATTCTTTGGGCTAAATGATATTTGCTTGATATCTTGATTTTTTTTTAATTCAAGAGAATTCTTTAAATGTCCATAACCCCCTCTTTCCTAATGTAGCTTTTCTTAAAAATATATGTGAATTAAGAAATGAATATAGATTTCAGTTTCTTGAGCAAAGAAAGAGAAAAAAAAAAAGAAATGAATATTTCATAAAATGTTATATATGAAATTAGATATAAGGCTTCCAGGCTAGCTTTCATCATTCTACTCCTATGATTTGTGAGCTTAGTATGTACTTACTTTCCTAAGAAACTATAATTGTTTGAGGACTCCCATTCAGTAAATAAAGCAGGTTTCATTTGGGTAGAATATTCTGGTTCATGCAATTTACTCAGTTATCAACCGTACTTAGATAATACAATTCAGAATACAATAGTTTATTAGGTCCATAATAGATGGTGTGAAACGATAACTTTTAAAGTAAGTCTTGTTTAGAACTATATTTGACTTTTTAAGTCTATTTTAAGTCTAACTACATATAAGGTGTACTTTTAAATGAGCATAATCTTAAAATTATCAATCAAAAACAATGGACAAATTTAATAACTGAAACAACAAAATCCATAATTTCATATTCAACATGAATCCATTTCAATGCAGAAGTTAGATATTCTGGCTCCAGCATTTTTTAAAATCAATTTTATTCTTTAAACAATCTTACCAAGAAGAAAATTGTTAATAAAAGGTTTTAAAAATTATTTTAAAAAATTAACTTTAGGAGTGAAGCTCAAAGCAAATGTAATTGTATGTTCTTGGTCAAGGGAAAGACTATCACTATCACTTAACAAGAAACTTTATTACGATTCTGTGTATTAAAATCTTAAACACATATAGAGATCATACAAAATATGCTATCTATTCTACTGCAAAATAATTTATTTTAGACATAATTATTTTATACTTAATAACAGCATCATTTCTTCAGAAATAAAATCATGGTATTTAAATTTATATACTTCACTCACTATTTAGAGAATAATCAAGTAAAAAGTACTACATTAAATACCCAGAAAGTCAGAGAATCCCAAACTTAGGGCATAAAAATTCCTGTTGATCTATAAAATCTTGGAAATTATGTTCCAATTTTCACAATTTTTCAAGCAAATTTTTCAATTTTTATATTACAAAGAAAGTATTTAATTCTTAAATATATTGTCCTACTAGACTTATCATTCACTTTTTGATAATTTTAAATAATACTCTATTTCACATATATTATTAATCACATGAAAATATTAAATAATTTACAATTTTAATTCCATGAATTTCTATAAGGCTTACAAATGAACACAAATACACAACACTATTATTTTTAACACTTATCTTAAATTTAAATAACATCATCCAAAAAGGCAAATAAAAATAAAACAAATATTTTAAAATTCTAGTCTTCATAAATCTATACTGACACTGGATATACGATTGCCTGTAAATCTTATATTGCCATATATAAAACTGGAATTTTAACAATGATTCATAGACCATATTTTTGTGGTACTAGATATTTGTTCTTATAAAAATAAAAATTAATATCATTGTCCTAAAAAAATTGCCAGTGATATCATACTACTCGAACCACACTTTATGTTTTAAAACAATCAAGATGTTTACCTCTATCCCTAAATGTTTGAACTGTCTCACAGAAGTTACAAAAGAAATGGAAGAACAGGCTGAATTAAGGCAGAAAATCAATAGACTTTATACTTCAGTGCTTATTCTGTAGATTATTAGCCCCAGATAATTTTAACCCAGAGGTCTTTAACTAAACTCCTACTTTTAAAATCCAGATAAATTCATGGTATTACTTTCAAGTAATCAGTCTTTAAACTACTCTGTGTATTCATCTACTGTAGATAAAATAAACACTTCAAAACTATAAATGGCTGTAAAGAACAAAAAAATTCACTGATGTTTACAACTTTAAAATATTTATATTCTTCCATGTATACATTAAGGGATACTGCCTTTAAAAGTTATGATGAGAATACAAATTGAACAATTTGACATTGACAAAGAATATAATATGAATGATTTTATATGGAATAACAGCTACCTACTCATGATTTAAACATAAAGGGATTTTTAAAAAAGGTAATTAATAGAAAATTGAATATTAGCTTATAATTTGAAAATATATAGCCTAATTATTGATTTTACATCTATATTTGATTAGTCAGCATTACATTTATCTATATACTGGTAAAATTATAATAGATTCATAACACTGTTCAGTATAAAAATATTTTTTCAATTCAGAAACATGAAATTAATAAGATTTTGAGCTACATTTCAAATTTATTACAATGAATATAAATATTCTGTAAATGAAATATTCTGTGAATTAACGAAGAATAGTACATTTCTTTTGGAGGCATATTCTATTGATAGCAAGATTAAGTCACAAATTAAGAGGCTGATTATAAAAGGGCAAAGGTAGAAACAGTAATTATAAACATAAAGATTCAAATAAATTTATAGATGTAAGAGTTTGTGGTGGAAGAACCCACCTTAACTTAACATTAAATAGTGTCATTTTCCCCCTACATCATGTCAGCCATTACTCAATCTTAAAAACTCACAATGGTTTTTATCAAGTAAAAACTTTTTTACAGAAAATCTCATACATTCAAAATGAACATTAGTCCTTAATGACATATATTTAAATACTACACAAGTTATACAAAACATAATAGCTGATTTGTAACAAAGGACTGTATGCTAGGTACACAAATTTACTTATACATATTTTTATTAAAAAATGTTGAACATGACAATTAAATTAACAAAACAGGAGTCTATATTCAGGAGTCTATAATAACTATACTGAAGACTACAAATATCACTAAAAATAGGGTATTAGAAATTCTGGGGATATCATTTCCTTTTAATTTTGTATTTAATTAAGTGATAAAATTTTAAATAGATTAAATTTCTATATATTAATAAAATTTGTGTCTATAAATTTTAAAAAGGGCCATCACAAAAAATAGAGTCACGTAAGTGCTCTTAAGTTTCACAGTAATAAATAAATAACTTAATTTATCAATAAATTAATTGATCAATCTAAGGAAAAGAACCTGATAGTCTTTAAATAACTAAGTGACAATTCTGGTAGGTTTAGGTATGCTTAGGGAAAAAAACACAGCTTTTTATTCTAAGACTTTAAGGCTTCTTTTGTAAGGAATTTATACTGTGGATATTTCTCTTTGATTTCCCAACTAAACACTCACTTGTTTGATGCGATCTGGATTAACGGTGGTCTGGGGTTGTAGTATGCTGACAGGTTCTGTCTTGGCCACATTTTGGGGCATTTCTCGAATTTTTTCTGCAATGAATCCATGAACTGCATTCAGTGCTTCAACTGTTCCCTGGATCAAGCACACTCGCTCAGTAGTACCTGTAAATAAAAGATTATTTTTCAGAAAACATTCCTTATTTGCATTTTTTTAAAAGCTATGAAAAAGGATGATACAATGATGCCAATAAAATAATATAAAATAATAGAACTCTAAGTTAAAAATGTTCAATTGAACCAAACATAAAAAAAACATACATGTCCCTTTTTATCATTCTTTTCTAATTGTTTTAGTCTCAAAAAAGCCTTTTGATTTCCAGCACAAGTTCTGAGCAAATCACTCGTTCATTGGTGTAACAAACACCTACTGAGTGTTTACAAAAGAACTTAGGGTTAGAAACTGATAACACACAGATGAAAATCTATGGACCCAGCTTTCAGAAAGCTTACTCTTCAGGGGAAAAATCAGATACCAAGTCAGATAATTGTAAGAAGATATAATGTGAAAAATAATGAAGATAACATGGATGGTAAAGCTATTATCTTGCTTATCCTCCTCTTCTTTGAATGATAGCAACAATCACTACCTGATATTTTATATTTGTTTATTTTTTTTTCATTTTTCTACTAGAATGTAAGCTCTACATGGTGGACAGTATATTTGTTTTGTTTTGTGCTATAGCATACCCAAAGCCAACTATAGCCCCTAGCATATAGTCGGAACACAAGAAATATTTGTTGGATAGATGAATAAATGCTGTATTTATTAAAGATATAATTTGAATAAAAAGACAATATCAGGGTTCAAAATGAAATTTAAAAGTAGTTTATGAAACTTGAAATTTGTGAATAATTGATAAAGGTATTTTTTTTTTATTTTATTTCATCTTATTTTTTTATTTTAGCGTATTATGGGGGTACAAGTGTTAAGGTTACTTATATTGCCCATGCCCTCCTCCCCCCTCGAGTAAGAGCTTCAAGCATGTCCATTCCCCAAACACTGCACATCTTACTCGTTGTGGTTGTATACACCCGTCCCCTCCTCCCCCCTTCCACCCTCCTGACACCCGATAAATGTTACTCCTATATGTCCACTTAGGTGTTGATCCGCTAATACTAATTTGTTGGTGAGTACATGTGGTGCTTGGTTTTCCATTCTTGAGATACTTCACTTAGTAGAATGGGTTCCAGCTGCATCCAGGAATATACAACAGGTGCTATATCACCATTGTTTCTTAAAGCTGAGTAGTATTACATGGTATACATATACCACTTTTAAGACCCCTAAGGCAATCACAACAGCAACAAAAATAAACAAATGGGACCTAATGAAATTAAAAAGCTTCTGCACAGCCAAAGAAACTGTCAAGAGAGCAAACAACCCACAGAATGGGACAAAATTTTTGCAACTACACATCTGATAAAGGGCTGATAACTAGAATCTATTTAGAACTCAGGAAAATCACCCAGAAAAAAATCAAACAACCCTACCAAAAAATGGGCAAAGGACATGAACAGAAACTTCTCAAAAGAAGACAGAATAATGGCCAACAAACGTATGAAAAAATGTTCAACATCTCTAATCATCAGGGAAATGCAAATCAAAACCACAATGAGATATCACTTAACTCCAGTGAGAATGGCCTTTATCAAAAAGTTCCCAAACAACAAATGCTGGCGTGGATGCGGAGAGAGAGGAACACTCCTACACTGCTGGTGGGACTGCAAACTAGTTCAACCTCTGTGGAAAGCAATATGGAGATACCTTAAAGCGATACAAGTAGATCTACCATTTGATCCAGCAATTCCACTATTGGGTATCTACCCAAAAGATCAAGTCACTTTATGAAAAAGACACCTGCACTCAAATGTTTATAGCAGCACAATTCACAATTGCAAAGCTATGGAAACAACCCAAGTGCCCATCAATTCATGAGTGTATTAATAAAATGTGATAGAGGTATTATTAATCATATTTGTTTCATATCTAGTGAATAAAATGTAGATATATGATGCTAGACAGGACTAAAATCAAACTGTGGGAAGGCAATAAAAATGAATAGTTTTTCAGACTATTCTGAGGCTTACTGCAGCAGCCTGGTAATCTGTAATCTGAAACCAACCGGAATCTCAGTGTCCCAATGCAATGGAAGACAATTTTTCCATGGATGGGGTGGGTGAGGTGGAGCTCAGGCGCTGATGTGAGCGATGGGGAATAGCTGTAAATACACTTGCTGGCCTGCCTCTCACTGCCTGCCCTGTGCCCACTCCACTTCCTAAGTTTCATGGAAGACAATTTTTCCACAGACAGGGGTTGGGGGTTGGTTGGAGCTCTGTGGCCCAGGGGTGCAGCAATATAACAAACTTACTTTTCAGAAATATATGTTTTCTAAACAATTGTAAAAAAAATTAAAAAGAATTGTATATTAAAATATGTACAATTTTTTTTAATTAGCATGAACAGTTTCAAGTGACACTTGAAATAATAATAATTCAAGTCTATGAAGAATGTTTCCTAGGCTGTACAAAGTATTTCAATAGAGAGCAAAAGTATGGCTTTGATTTATAAGAATGGATAAAATTTGAAAAACATAATGTGAATTTGTGGACTTAATTTTTCCTGTTTCTTTTAATCAGCTTTTCTCATTCTTATCTATTTTGATGTATCTTTGTGGTTCTTGAGTAAAATGATCTAATTTATAGGGATACTCTAGGGAGTCGTTACAAGGTTGTATTAGGTATCCAATAAATGACTACAAAGGATGGGAACTGATCAATGTAGCTAATGCACAGTGTTCTTATCCAGGTCAGCAGACAACACAAAACATAGATCAGATTACATTCCTGCTTTTGAAGACATGCAGAGTGCTCTTTTGAGGACAACGAAACAGCTGAACTTAAAACAGCGAAAATTATTTTTAAACAAAACAGCACTAAGTAACTAAAGAGATAATAAATTTATGTTGTCTTAAAATTCTGGTTTGACATTATACATACCATATCAGACCTCACAGTAAACCCAATACTCTTCAGATTGTATAGACAAACAGATAGTAAATGGAAATCACTGAGCCATAAAGAAATATGACTGTCTAAAACTAAACTTCATATAATGGCATGTATGAGACACTTGAAGATAGTTCAGAGTCACAGTTGCAGAACATACTCTTTGAGGATTAAATTATAGTATTTCCATTAGAACTATCACTACAAAAAAGAGAAAGACAAAAGGACATTCTACATCTACCAACGGGAAATGCTGCAATCCTCAGAAGAGACGCTGTCATATTCTTCTACTGAACTCTAATGGCCTTTTCACTCAGATAACACAAAACCATAATTTTTAGGAGAAAGTCACAAAAAGAAAGACTGTCAGGTATATGATCAAACTGTAACAAAATGAGCCTATAAATCATTGAAGTTGCTATTTTTTGTCATTTTAAAGGCTTTTAGGCTCCATTAGTACACTAAACTGCCAGTTATTTATCATTTTATTTGTTTAACGGTAGCATTTACTTTTCTTTGCAATAGACTAGCAACAAGAACTGAAATTCAGTTACATAAAAGTAAATGCTCATATTTTGTATAATGTAAGAATTAAGGTATATAAGACATCATTAATTTTAAATTGCACTTTTACAGGACAAATTATAATAACTGCAACAAGAAGGTTCAATGTCAAATACAGTGAAGTGTGAAGGGGCTTTAAGTTTTGATTTCACATACAATATCAAATAGACAGGTTTCTAAAATTAGATACAATTATCAAATAGGTTTCATGGGAAATATTTTATAGAAATTTCATAAAAACATATTCTCTATGTGCTACTGTAACTTTGGACAAATCACTTAAAAAGTTCCTGCTCCTATCTAAGGTAGTCCATCACTTGTGCACTGGGCTCCATCCCCTCTTACCTACCACGTCCACTCTTCTTCCAGTTATCAGATTCTTTCTTACATCATAATTTTTTTCTATTGGATCATTTCCACCACAAGAAAACATCTTATAATCCCTTCAATTTTTAAAGACATTGGCAGAATTAGAAAACTACCCTTTTGCAAATTGAATAAAACAATTGATTTAAGCAAAGATCATAAATGGATAAAGTCATTAGATAAAAGGTAAATGGGGAATTTTCAATGGAAATACCAGAGTGTCATCAACAGACTTAAATGATCAACATTAGCATGATGAAGAGTACGAAAACTAAGTATTATGTGTTTCTTGATGTGATGGAATACGAGGTACACAGCACCAATTATGAAGTAAGTAACTGAACCTAAATCTAATCAAACATTTAACACTACATTACAGTTGAGATTAATACAGAAAACAGAGAAATAAATGACACCATAAGGAAGCAAAGAGACAAGTCAAGAATGTATAGTTTATAAAACAACCGACACAGCTTTATCGATAAAGAAGAGATTACTCTCCAGACAAAAGGAGAATTAATATATATTATGATCAAATGTAAATTAGAATTTGGTTGGATCCAAATTCAAACTTTTATTTGAAACATAATTGAAGCAAAAATAAGGAATCTATATTTTATAGTATCACAGAATTACTGTTAATTTAACAGGTGTGTTTATAGCCAACAGGTTATATAAGAAAATGTCTTTTTTTTCTTTTTTTTGAGACATATGCTGAAATATACATAACCAAAATGACTTCAAACTATTTCTGCAACAACAAAATAGGAGTAAACAAAATAGACATGGCAAAATGTTGGTATTTTTTTATAGATGAAGGGTATAAAGTGATTAAGAGGTTCATTGTCCTAATCTACTATTATGTATATTTAAAATTTTCATAATAAAAAAAAATTTAAAAGCCTTCATTGACTGCCTATATCCCTATTTTGTTTACAGTTCAATTTCCTTAACTCTCAAAATTCCTTGAATGAGTTTTAAATAATCTCTTTCTATTTCTTCTCATTATCCAATCTTGAATCTACTCCCACATGGCTTTTTTTTCTTGAATTTACTCCATTATGGCATTTGTCCCACAACTACACTGAAACCAATCATCATAACTGTACTGGAGCAAATCCCATCTTCATGTCTTCATGTTGCCTTCCCATTAGCAATATTTAATA